GATGCAAAAACGCATGATCGCACCGGCTCGCCTGGTGCGTTCCAGCCTTTGTTGCAATTTACATATGTGCGAAAACGCATAAAAAGCGAAAGTATTAACGATCGCTGCATCAGCACACAAATCCAGGTGGCAGTGCATGAATTGTCGATGCGATCATATATTTTTGCGCGAGTGTTGAGGCAGTTAGATCGTTGACAGCAAGAATAGTTGCTGTTTTTATGCGTTTTAGCAAAAACACATATTGTCGAGTGGCTGTGTGTGTGTTCGGAAGCGAGTGCCTTCTGTCACCCATTTTCATCTCAGCAACCAGGAAAGCTGGAAGGCTGAAACTTTGGATATATGTTTCTATTCCATGTGTTGTCCTCCCGTTTTAAGATCTTTCCCTACAAGCGCCTAGAACTCGCGTATGGGAACCCCAAAGAAATATGTTGGCGGGGAACGATTTCACGAACCAAGGCAGAAAGCTGAAACTTTGCAGGGACATTGTCTATGCAAGTACGAGATAAAAATTTTAAACGCAACTCTCTAGCTTCCCAACAACAGCTTCAAGCAGCTCCTCAACCCAAAAATCGTTAGAAACTCGGACCTGAACCGCGATCGTATATGTAAATGAACATGAATTTTTTGAAAAACTACCGTTCAAGCTACACTTTCAATTTTTCATGAACTGGAAATTTGCATTTTTTCAAAAAATTTGCATTTGTCATTTTTTCATAAAGCGAGCATTTACCGAAAGACGGCCGGACTTCATGCAAAAAACCGTTAATCACACATCTTGACGTTCTTGCTGTTCTATAATGGACCACCTTCATCCCAACTGACGCCCTTCCTCCTGCAAGCCGGAAAGGATTAAAGCACGCCAATATGACCCAAGTGTTAGGCTACAGTGTAGGGATCGTTCCTGCTAATAGCAGTCAGCGAGTTTAGTACAAAAACGCATGATCGCACCGGAGAGCCTAGTGCGTTCCAGTCTGGATTTAGACTAACAGCTGCAGTCATTTTGGCAGTATTTTTGATATTTTACTGTACGTAACGAAGAAAGGTATCGACAAATCTGGGACGGTAGTGCTGCGTTGTGACGCTGTGTGGAAGCTCAACATTCAGCATGTATGATTACCTTGAAAAGACGCTGTCTACAGTTTTGCATTCACATGTAGGTCTTAGGCATTTGTGCAAACTGATTTTATGCTGTTAATATTTTACAAGATACGGTAATAATAAAATAAAATTTCAGCCTCTTGAATATCCGATGCCGAGAAAGGAAGATGACGAAAGTACTGCAGTTTGAATATTTGATGCGTCTGTGAGCAGGGCAAATTTGAAAGTGGGAACTCATTATGTGTTTTTGCATATTATGCAAAAACACATATTGTGACGACCCCGGTGAGTGTGTGCGTATATGTATGTATGTGTGTGTATGCGCCTGTCCGAGTATTTCAACTCGGCACCTAAGCAAGCTCCGGCGTCAAAATTTTGGGAGTGGGTTTCCAGGACCACGGTACCAACTCTCAAGCACGTCTAGGCCCCGCGTACGAGCGCCTCAAAGTTGTGGCGGAAAAATCGCCAACTCGAGAACCAGAGAAGCTAGAAAGCTGAAATTTTGGG